GCAAACAAATAGGCTTCTTAAAGAAAAAGAGGCTGATTGCTTACTGGTATAATAAACTACTACTTAAGTTTAGTATTTGTTCATTTAAAAGCAATCGCAAGGGAGGTGAGTGGGTGGATGGATGGATGCTGAAAACGTCCTCGTGTTTCCTTCATGTGTCATGCCATTTTCTGAACTTCCCTCCTCAGAGTGGACCTCTCCGCAGAGCTTGGAAATTTGAGTGTTTGCGATGATGTTTTCCGCGGGGGGAGAGGAAGGAGTGCACTATATTTACATTTGCGCCTAGCCTGGCAGACTTGTTTGAGCATGTGTTTCAAGGTGTGTGAAAGACCGAACTTGTTGTGGGCTTTCATGGGGAGTTATTACTGGGAACACTGTCCCATCCGGATTACTGTCGTGCGTCAAATAATTGATTTTCACTTATGCCAACCCCTAATTCACAATCGTTGGTGGTTTCAGGGCAAACTTTAGTTTTCTCAATATCCACTCGTATGCCTCCCAGGGATGCGCGTGCGTATGGACTTTGAAGGAGGTGAAACTCCAGTTTATTGCTTCTCAGTTCTACGTAAACACAACATCGGAAAAGGTCAATCATAAAAAATCATATTTTTCTTACAGATTTCACTTAATCAAATTTCACTCAACATTCAAAATGTCCAACCAATTTGGCGAATGCATTTGCTTATTAACAGCCCTAAGAAAAACCAGTTTGTGCGTATAAAAATGTATTAATTGAGCTTCCGACAACTGTAGCCCACTGACTCCGAGTGAGCTCTTTGTGTACTGTGTGCTTTGAGACAAACCAACAAATGGCAGAGGACTATATAATTCGATCTAAAATTGGGTTTATACGGATTCCATAAAGGTGCACGGTTGCCGGAGATATCTTCATCTAAATTTGGAGCTCTTAGACCGTGAACACTTATTAGCGTCAGAGGCTAAAGCACGTGTCGTTCGATAAATTGATCTACCTTGAGCAGCACCAATTGAGCGCGCCAGACCAGAAGCACATTCGGTTAGCGAGCTGGTGCCGTTTGAATTCATTTAATTACAACTAGACGACAATTGTGTGAAATTTATCGTATCAGTTAGGTGGTGATTTTTCCAATCGGATAAGTTTCGGGATCCTTCGAAACTAATCGTTGCAGATCTTACAGTAGACACCAACTAGACTGGTGGTCTGACCGTGATATTCTGTCAAAAAATGGTTAATGGCGTTGTTCTTAGCACAGGTATGTGGCACGTATTCTGTCGCTTCACCCGTAATCATTCTGAGCTGAAAATTACTATACAGATAACTACTGAATGCACAGATTCATCAAGCAAAGTTTGTCAAACAATTTCACATTTTCACACGTAATGAGGTCCTTCTACCAGATCAGTCTGGAGCGACCTAAAATCGAATGCGTTGAACAGATGCATAAAGACATTAAGTGTTTGCACATGATTGGAGATTGGCTAACACGGATGGCGCATCTACATGTACGTAAAGAAGAAAGAACCCCACCGTCTTGGGAGTTACAACCTGTCCTGGGATGAACCAACGGTTTCACTCGTTTCATGAATTCTCCATCAAACAAAAAAACAGCGTGAACGGCTTCATTGCAGGTAAGAGTGTGACGACGCATCATCTGGCCGAAGAACGTTTTTGGTTCATCGATTTGATGTTCCTTATTTGTGCAATAGGATGAGTTTGACTGGTTGTTAGCTTCAACAGAGAAATCGAAAAGATGGATAGAAGATATTTAAAAAGGATATTGAATTTTTGTCTCGTGATTGATCATGCAGTAGACTTAAACTTCTTCACAACATAGATGGCAATGAACAGCTACGCAAAAGTAAAACCTTGAGTCCGAGTAGTTTAGGAGCAGTACATTACTGAATATTCTGAATATTTACAGATTCCTGTTTGCAAAACTCGGTAACCTGCTAAAGAGAGATTAGGGATTAGTCATATGTGAGGACAAGTTACCAACATCGTGATCACAATCAATCTACTTTTGATTTTCTAATGCACGAAATTGCCTCGCACTCTTATATTCCTATTGGATAGTACCACAATCAGCAACACAAGCAGCGACAGCAGCAGTATGATCATCATCATCATCATCATTATCATCGTACAGCGGAATACAGCGAAGCGAAGTTCCTTGCTCGCCATCAAACTCACAATATACACAATAGAAGTGAGAAACTGTAAGGCAGACAGGGGTTTGGGCCTAGTTTGAGGAGGGAAAAATGAAGTAATCCTGTATGGTCAATATAGAGCACAAGCTGACTGCGCATACACCTTTTTAAGCATTCTGGTCTAAGAAGAAGGGACAACAGGAACGCCAATGCTGGTATATCCTTCGACGTTTCCAGCCAACCAGCTTCAGAAAGATAAAAGACACCTAGTGCATTCAATGGAACTAGGCATTCCTTTATGCCCCGTCGTCACGTGGTCCTTTGACATCCACGTGGTTTCCTCCAGTCAACAGTGGTTTCAGCAAACAAGGCGCGATGCTGCAGATACCGGGTGGACATGCGCTTTTCATATCAAAAAAAACCAAAGCCCAGTAATCTGAATTCAGTGTGCTAGTCACTTTACCTCCGGCAATAATAATATCGTTTCGAACAGTTTATTGCCAAAGACTGAAGAGTTTCAGCGCGGATTTCTTAGTTGGATCATTTCGATCGAGCAAAAAAGGGCCGCATTTGTAAATTTAAAAACTTAAGATAGTGAGTAAATTACTTCTTTGCACCGGGCCTGGTTCCATTAGCATGTAAGTAGACTGGTTCAGCGATGGAAGAATTTTAAAAATAAACTATACCACTACTAATACTAATACTATATCAAATTTCAGATAAACGGGTGTGTAAAGTGATTTTCACCAAATTGTGCAAAGTAAGCCCGGAAAACGATAAATAACCATTTGCTGCCATGTTTCACTAATTACAATAAACTATTTCTTTCTCGAGCAGTTGTAGTAGGTATTCACGCACGCCACACTGATTGTGTTCCAAGTTATGACCGCCCTACTCAGGGATACGAGATTTCAAGGACAATGTGCTTCGCCGTAGTTAGAGTTTTTTTTCAGTAAGATTCTTTGAAAACAGATTATAAATGCATTGTTCAACCTTCCATTATTACGACTCTTCTAAGTCTACGTGTTCCATTCCCTATCATCTCGACTGGATCACAAGGATTTGATCTCAATAAAACATTTCTGCAAAAGTAGAGAATCGACTACAGACTGGATCAGAAATACCTCAACGTGTAATGACCGAGTCTGTGTAAGCAGTGTTTGCACACAGCTTCTAACTTTGTCTGCTGAGAAAAACTTTAAAACTCGCCTGCAACTTGAAACAACTCCTTCGTATAAAATGGTGAATCAAGGACAATGTGAACCAGCACAGAGCAGTTTTATTTGGTCATAGGAGTTCAATTTCAGATTGGAACATCCTTGAACATTTTAATGTTCCGCAAGTTTTTTATTAATCCGTTTGACAAACACGTTTTAAGTTAACCGATAACAGTACTGCTAAAAAGAAACTTGATAACTGTGTTCCCTCATTTAGATTTTTGAATCGATTTGGACCACTGTAAACTGTAAAAGATACTGCTGCCATATTTCGTTAGGGATCCTAGGTAATATGTATCTAAATCGATCGGTATTTGGATCCAGACACAGTGGCTCTTATACCCTTACCAATAAGGAGCCCTGATGGCCTACCATAACGAGAAATGACGACTCACTCGTCGGTTCCCTCAATTACCAGTGATTGAAGCCTGTGGTCAGAAATCGCCATCTCAAATGTTAATCGCCTTTATAACTCGAAGTACTGTAGCTGGCCACATTTCTTTCGCATTCAAGCATTAACAGTCTTTCTGGTGATCTTTCTCACGCATTTACTCTTTTTTTCAAACCGTGGTCTGCTGCACGATTCCTTCAAACACTCCAAATGTGGTTTCTCTCTACTCACCTCTCAGGTTTGTTCCATATTGCACAACTGTAATTAATTCCACTTTATCTGTTTCTCCGGAATTTTGTTAAATTGCCCCGATGGTACGTTAGGTGATTGCCTCTGTTAGAGCAAATATACAAACCTGTGTGAGCAAATTTCTTTCGTACGTTTCTTTTCGGGGTGATCGACTTGGACAATACCATAAAGGGCAATCAGTGGATACTTTCTTCTGTCCATCAACCCATCTCGTTGCTCATCGTTTTACACAGTTCAGCAGTCAGTTTGTTCCTGAATTGAGTGAGAAATGCTTCTGAACACTGATTCGCGATTTGGTAACTATCAGGCGTGTATCCTTCAATCCTCAAGAGCAGTGATTTTATCAACTAATTTATCTCCATATTAGTGCTCTAGAAAATATGTTATGAAATTCTCAAAGATCTAAACATAATCTCTGCATACCAATCTTTCTGACTGCCAATACTATTCCAATTCCTAATCCCGCTTTTGCAGACTCCTCATCGAGATAAATATGCACATAAACTGGTTGACATCTCAATTAACGCGTGTTTTTGAACAGCACCAAAATAATCAAGGAGTCGCTTGCAAAGTTTAAATTGCAAAACTGTATTAACATGTTTCTTTGGGGGGAGGGTATTCGATTTTTATCCGTTTTCAGTCTGATGTAATATGTGTTGTGCCTGAAATGGAAATCTAGATGCTAACAGAATTCTCTGGACATTACAATACAATACAATGCAATGTAGCTTTGTTTTCCTCAGATTTGGAATCTTCAGTGACTATCCCTCAGAAAGCCTTACTAAAAGTGGTCACTGCCAAAACTTCGATAACTCTAAAGACGTAAATAACAACGTTTTTTTTACACACCGATTGTTTAATCACTGCAATTTCTTCACTTTTAGGCTAAGGCTTCTAAGACAGCATTCAGACAGACTCTAAAAATAGAAAGCGTTACCATCAGAACAATGTGTGTATACAATCAAGACAAGGACAATTGTGACTGATATCGTTTGATGAATTTACTCGGGACTTACGTCTGATTCGCTGTCTCGTATGACAAATTCACCCGGAACGGAAAACAGCTTCAACATGCGCTCACACTCGGCCCGTGACAGGGTGCCCCAAAACCATGGTTTAGCCAGAAACAATTTGGCCAGCTTTGAACGCCTTGCATAGGCCAAACGTAGGAGTTCACTGTCCACATTATATGTTGGTGAACGACATGGTTCCGGTTGATCAAATTTGCCTGGACTTCTCGAAGTAAGTCCGTTGGATTCACGCAAACCATCTTTTTTGTCTGTTCCGGACAAGGAAAGCAAGTAATTTCTTGGGGCCCAACCAATCTCGCCTTGACCAGTCCGACATTGCCACCAATCGGTCTGATTCGTCGGCCTGTCTATCACTTCAAGAATCTCATTAGCCTGGAAAGATAATTCTTCAGGGTGATTCCTTCGGTAGGGATAGAGGGCAAGTGCTGTCTCTCGTGTGACCATAGACGTAGGCGGACATTTGTTCGACACAGTGTTTCCCGACACTTGATCATTCAAACATTTCGGAATGGTGGCAGGACAAGAAACGTCTCGAAGTCTGGAGGTGAAAAATGCATAAAAAAATTTGAAACTCTTGTTTCTTAAGCGCTGTTTTTCATGAGTAGTAAAACATCAGAATTGGGCCTAAGTTACCAAAATTGACGCAGAAACACGCGATAACCTTGCCGAAATTTATTTTCAAGTTGGTATCAATTTACCTACTGATTTATGTTGTATAAATAAAGGCATAAATCGATTTCTGCGTATCTTGGTTGCAGTAATAATAATATAAAATATAAAATCAACTCTAGTGATAATCGGATCCAAACCTCTTGTTCGTTTGTTTTCCCACCAAAAAATGTAATCCAACAGCATTGGTATGGCAGAACTTAATGATGCGCTTCAATAACCCGATCTGAACGCGTTTCACCGATCCACAAACCGAGCGGATTGAGCCAGCACTCTGTTTTTTCCGGGGGGAGAAGTATGCCCTGATGATCTCATATCATCTGTATCGTCTTTCCTGTAAACTTCATTTACACATGAGAACGTTCGTTTGTACATATTATGGATCAACAAATCTATTCTCAGTCACCACGAGCTCTAATGCACTTGATCAATTTAAACGGCAAAATTTTTCATTGGAAATTCCGCTGGCCATGAGACATCGAAACGTTAATAAAAAAAGAACAAGCTCAGAGGTTAGAGAACTATCTCTATCCAAGCCACGAATATCCTCTCGGTAATAGTTTGGTGCTGCAAATAAATTCTGAGTGATACTGAAGAAACATACACCGTCAACCAGATCGATGGAACTGATTTATCAAATTATTATGAGTTATTCATGAACTCGAGTCGGTGATATGATTACATCACTGGTTTTGTGAGTTGATGACATGCGTTCAGATTCAAACTCTTGGATTGGATAAGGAACCTAATGAGTTGCTTCTAGTGCAATGAAACAGGATCCATATTACTTTCAATCACCCCCAAATACACCTCAGATACATGAAACATTTCGTTGCACCTCAAAGCATTCCTAAGTGAAACTGTCATGAAGTAAGTGACCATCATGGAATGTTCTCTGAATTTGTCACCTGAATGAAACGATGTCGGCTGTATGACCATTCAACACAAGAACACACTTGCTAAACAACTCCGGTTCGCTGATCAAACATTTCGGTACCGGATTCCGCCGTGAACCTCTCACTGTACATTGTTGCCTGACACGTCCACTTCACATGCCGAATGATTAACTTTCAATTTATTCTCTTACATTTACAACTAAGCATCGCATCAGTTCAAATTAATTTCCGTAACTACCGACTATATACCCTATTTGTTAATTATAATTATAATAATGTGCTTCTTGATTCGTTTGATTGAATAGGTATACTTGCACTCATTTTTCAGAAGGGAGCAAATGAACTATTGGAGGATTGTCTTTCAGTTACAATGACGTGAAAATGTTTGAATACTTCATCACAAACCTTAAAAGAAATGTATATGAACCCGGGATTCTAAGTCAGGCAGTTATCAACAGCTTACACTCCTTTGAAATCGATGCTCTAGTACTAACAGAGATGCTTTATCGTATATCGCTCTTTAACGATGAATAATTGTACAATCGTGACCGGAAAACTCAAGGGAAGAACCAAGATGTGCCAGCTCTAAAGCTACTTAAATGTAAATTCTCTAGAATAAAATTGTAATTGATCTTGATAAAATCACACTGGCGATTTTGTTAAGGGTTTACAATTAATGTGAATACGTCTTTCTAACTTATCACAACTACAGGTATTGATCAAACTCATGCAATACCCTGATTTCATCACACATGTTCCTCCTAACTTATAGTTTTTCCAGTCACATTCTCAGGATTCAATATGATATTGCCCTATATCAGATGCACCACATTCGTAATATCCTCCTATTTGTTTACTTCTATTAGTTAAATCTCAATGAAGTGTACGATTTCTCGATTTTCACGATCATTGCTGGTGCATCAGTTGTGAAATAAAAAAGCCACAGTAAAAACATAACTAGAGTTTGTTTATCTAAATGACTCCTATACTTCATACAGGTAGGATACTTTCATTTCGTTCATATTCTATTTGTTCTTCTTCATTTTTGAGTACTAGGGGTAGTCGCTTTTGCATGGAGTTCACCAATTTGCCAGGTTTCTCTAATACCTGTCGCATCCTAACCACTGACGACCACGGTCAAAGCAGCTGACTGCTAAATCCGACATGGGTCTTCATTTAGAAACTGCATAAATGAGAAAAAAGAGTATTTATTGAGATAGAACCGTCTTCTACTAGCAACCTCAAGTGAGAAGGTACATTAAACTTCAACTGTGAAAAATATGACTTCCGCAAATGTATTTTGGGAGTGACAGGTGTCGAATCCTCCTTTCTCAGTGCAAGAAAGTTTGCGATATCCATATCGGTATGCACAGGGGCCAACAAAATGAGAGTGATGTTGCACGAGTTTAGTCAACACCTGCAACAATCAGATTCGTTTAGATATGGAGGGGAAACTGCTTTTCTGATCCCATTTCATGATGAATTTCGCCAAAGACGGAACACAAATTAAAACGTGAAGTGAAAACCTCAGAAGTATATCTGTTTCGACCTTCTAGGGTCTTATCAGCAGGACACAAATCCACCGACCCAACCTGAATAGCTAAATCGGGACTTGAATCAAAAATAGAACGTAAACACACTACCCCGGTTGGTTGCTTCAGGGTAGCTGAACAGAGTGCTTCATTTTTGTCTATACCCAGTGTAGCACAATCCATAATCTTTAGGTTTGTTACGATCCCCTTACCACGGTCATTCTATTTCTAGCCTTCATATTTTTGTCTTCCTTGAGGCCAGTGGAACTACCGGTAAGCGTTAGATTTCAAAGGATTTACTACATTTTTCTCATTTGACAGACTCATTATTATCTTTACATGTATACAAATGCATGCCATCTCGGAACAGTTTACAAAAGCAAGAGATTTTGATTACAGCTTTTCTGCCTCTACTTATCTGGGCTTATCTATCTTATTATAGAGTGACAGACATATGTACCACGTGGTAAGAGGAATTTTTCACCTAGATTAATTTATACTTTACAAACACCAAGATATGGAATTTGATTAACTTTAATCAAAACATCTCCTGCGAATTAACCTTTTTTTGGAAACAATCTTGGGTATTATAATCTTGGCGTAATTTCAAACGCCTTTTTAGCACACAATGCTAGTCAAAACTAAGGGTACAGCCATGATTTTCGATTGGGTTTAGAAAAACACAATACCCACTCTCTATCCAGTGGCCATCCTTGTTACGATCAATCGGAAAATTGGGATCATCTTTTACAACCATGTAATAAGAATAGCATTTTCAAATTTATCCGACCACTATGAAACAAAAGAATACAGGCAATCTAATATAAGGGGAAATTAATTCATCTTCCCACCGTCTAGGGCTTGTTATCCTTAAAACCCTCAAATTATTCTTTCTGTGTAATACTAATAGTCATTTTCCAAATGTTTTTAATGTTATCGTACTCTGTATTCCGAGTGATCTCTTATTCAGCACTGGAATCGTAAGCCTCTACTAATACTTCCCTGATCAAAAATTCACAGAAATTCTCAATTTCGTAGGATTTATTAATATAATCATTTTCCGTATCTTTTTTCTTTGTCTCACCTCTAGTGATACGAATTTCAGGAAGGAGGAAGAAACGAATGCAATACTACACAGGTATTTTTAAAATTCCTAGAAGAAGCTGTATCATCTGAACTCTGGTACCAAGCGTTCTGCTTGATGATGATCAGTTAATGTGAGAATTTATCTTCTGTGAATCAACGCTCTCAGTGGTCCGTGTAATTAAACAGACTTACGAAAATTGACGGTTGTTGAGTAACTATCACCTACCGTTTTTTTTCGAGAGAAAAGCCATATGCTGTGCACTAGGAAACAAATTGTATGTAACCAGCAACTCCTTTTCCACTTGTCATCGTTTGTCATTGAATGTGAACCGTTCACAGATACATGTCAGCTGGCGCAGACAGAAAATAGTCAAGCACAGATGGTCACTTAACTACTACCTTGGCAAATTACCATAGCCTTTCAAACGGCAATGCACGAATCAGGGAAATGTGGTGCTTCAATCATGAACAGAGTGTGTATTCGTTTTTTTCACACCCTACTCTGTCATAAGTGGGGGTAGAACGCTCATATTCAACGGTCTATAAACTTTTCTACATTTTTGTGTATTGTGTATAACTTTTGCAAGCACTGAAGCTCACATTTCAGTTAAAAGCATACACGCTAATCGTCACAATGTACATAATCAACAGGGAGAAAAGTGTTCGTAGGCATGGAGACACGTTTTAGACAAAGTTCACTCATTGTTCGCTCTTTGTTTCTGAGTAGACGAGCAAGATACGGTATGGGTGAATTGCGGTTTGCATTAATTCGAGATGAAATTTGACGAAATTGAGAGCGTGTTGAATGATGGGAACGACAACGTGTCAGTTCTGCATACAATGTGTGGATCTGTGAGGAT